GGACCAATTTCTTTTCTCCTGAGCCGCCAAAGTCTTCATATCTGAAAGAGAGAGCACACTCACTGCTTGAATTAAGCATGTTAACAATGACAGTGCTGTGAAATGTATCTGCTTTTCTCAGCTCTTAACATTTGTCACTTTACAAAAAATAAAACACTTGGCTAATGGTTAATTAATGTTTTTGTTAAATTATTTCAAATTGACCAAATACTCACAGTTTTTTGTATCTGCTCCAGTCAGCCTGGCTGAGGGAGGGCCTGGTTACAGCTATGGCAGAGTTTATATGAGCCCAGGAAAGCTGCAGGCCGGGTTGGCTGGAGGCAGCATGTGACCAGACAAACTGTTCCTACACAGAAAGAAGCCAAACACATAGATAAAAGCTCACATGTGCAGTTAAACAGTCTGATTCTTTAGATATTTTTCTATTAATTGCTATCCATTACATTTGCTCTCTTGTAGCTCTTTTTGATATTACTGATGTCTTCTTGGAGGCGCTCCAGCTTCTCTGGGGCAAGTTCTTCATATCCTATCTGGATAGAGGACATGTAAGCAGGAGGAAGAGTGGTAACCGGCTCATGATCTGATGCTCCCAGGAATTTGTGTGTCTTGGAGTTGGGTCCTGAGTTGCATGGCAAGTTCTGCTGAAATAAAGAAAAAATAACTGCTAATAATCAAACTGACATTATTCAATGTGATTCGATTTCAGCAGCTTACTTTTGGATATTTTCAGAATAAATAAAATAAAAAAAAGACTTTAAAAGTACACCAAAAATCTCAAATATCAACTGTATACATACATACATACATACATACATACATACATACATACATACATACATGTGTGTACATGTATATAGTAGTCATCCCTCAAGTATCAACTCTATAAATCTTACAAATTTGGGAAAATGGACAATGTCTTATATGTAGAGTTAGTAACACCAATTTTCTCTTTACCAACAAATTGAATACGAAGAAATGCCAACAACAATTCTCACAGAATCACTTTGTGATCGTTAAGCCATGTGCCGTGCTCAACTTGTTACAAACCAAACCTTATAAAAAACCAAAATTTGAAATATTTAAAAACCTAAATGGATCAAAAATATATTTCTGGTAAGAAAATTCTGTAATAATGCAGATAATTCTCACCGGTCTTGAAATTGGTGAATTTCCTGACTCGGACTCATAAGAACTTCCGAAGTACAGCCTCCAGATGTTGCCGTGGGACTCCTCGTCCTCCACGTGAAGCTCACTGGGCTCCAGAAGAACCATGGACTGGTTCAGGCCCGTGCGCTGGTCTCCCTCTGCCGCTGAGTCCTCTGAACCGCTGCTGTTGTTCGGGAAAATCATGGAGGACAGGCTCATGTTGCTGTCTGAGCCCGAGTTCAGCTCCTGGACGACACACACAAACAGGGGTCAAAGTTCACTGCAACAAGCAAGAGCTTTGCTATCTTTTGATATCGACTAATGCTAAATTTGCCTTAGCTGGCTTCCTGCCGTCTAAATAATTAAATGATCAGCGTGATTGGAGATGATCTGACTTGTGCGTTAAATGATAAAGTAGGTCAAAGACACATACAGTGGGGGAAAAAAGTATTTGACCCCTTGCTGATTTTGCAGGTTTGCCCACTTACAAAGAATGCTTATTTTTCCTCATCAGATGGTTATCAATTTTTATAAATTCATATGATGTGATTTTCTGGAATTTTCTTTGGGATTCTGTCTTTCACTGTTAGAATGTACATATGATTAAAGTCATAGATAGTTGCATTCTTTGTAAGTGGGAAAACCTGCAAAATCAGCAAGGGGTCAAATACTTATTTCCCCCACTGTACATGCCTCCTTAAGCACAAAGTACACAAATATTTGAGTCTAGTGCTAGCAAATGGTTCCCGACTTTTTTAGCTTTTTAAAGCTGAAGCGAACCCCTGAAGGTGTGCTGATGAGACGTACCTGTGGTGAGGCCGTTCCCAGCCGGCTGTGGACGGCCTCCAGCAGGGCGCTGTACAGAAGCCCCTTCAGGTCGGCGCCGGTGAACGTCTCCGTCAGCGCCGCCAGCTGCTCCAGGTCCACGTCCGGCGCCAGCGGCATGCCCTCGCTCAGGGCCCTCAGGATCTCCACACGAGCCTCCTGGGAGTGCAGAGAAACGCGGCACTGAAATCATCCCTCTGCAGTTTAAAGCACTTTTACAAATCCGGTTGCTGTATTGTAAACAGACGTGGTCAGGAGGAGGGCAGTAGAGGGACTTGTCCAGGCGTCCAGGTCTCAGCAGGGCTGGGTCAATTAAATCTGGACGGCTGGTGGCTGCAAGCACATAAACACCTACAGAGACAAACAATCAGAGTCAGATTAATCAAATTAAAGGTCATTTTTTAAGATAATAAGAAATACTGTCTACTTTAAGGTTAATCCATTTGGAATTTCTTAGTATTATGCTGGTTTCCACATCAAAATCCTTGTAAGGTAATCTGTAATTTGGGTTTGGGATACTTAGTGGCTAATCAACAATTAGATTTACTTTATATAGATATAAATAAAACCTTCCTGTGGAGCATAGTTTAATGGTTGGTTTTGGATAAACAGGAGCTCTAGCTCCCCCTGCTGGAGCGTAGATATCACTGTTATGACTCCTAAGTGAGTGTGCACGTTCCAAAAGAGCAGCATGAGCAGAAAAGGTTCAGCTGCATCAGCATCATCCCCACAAATGGCCAGGAATGCAGGCGTCTGGAGTAAACTGTATTCACACCCTCCTATAATGTTTCATCCTCACAGAGAAACACAGAGTGGTGCAATCAAAATAACTACTAATAGAAAAAGGTTGTGTCCATACAACTGTCAGGTAAAGAAAAGAGAAGAGCATCTTCCTTATTGACCCAAAAAATCAGGAATATCCTGTTTCAATTTAGTATTTCCTTCAAATACCTTTCAAAACAAACATCTGTGTTCACACTCCACTGTGTTACCAGCCTCCAGCACATCTAACAAACATGGTCCAGTAACAGCGGGTCCTGTAGAGGCCTTAATAAGGGCAGTGTGCAGGTGTTAGACTGTACCCTGGAGTCCCTCCACGCCGTCCAGCTGGGTGAGCAGCTGGTTGACCACGCGGTCGGTGACGCCTGTGCTGTCGTGGCCCCTCCTCGGAGCCAAAGAGTCAAACTCATCGAAGAACAGGATGCACGGTTTGGCAGCTTGGGCCCTGGAACCCGTAGGGGAGGTACAAACCAAATGCTTGTTACTGGAAATACAGATCTGATGTGACTCTAAATAATTTGTGTTCAGATTTAAAATGTTCACTGACCTCTGGAAAACGTCCCGGACTCCCTGCTCGCTCGCTCCAATGTATTTACTGAGAAGTTCAGGTCCCTAAAGAAACCCATCCATGTCACTGGGGATACACTTTGCTCTTAGACAGTGGAGTGCAAACCAAAGCTCAGTTTTACCTTAATGCTGATGAAGTTCATCCCGCTGTCTTTGGCCACCGCCCTGGCCAGCAGTGTCTTCCCCGTTCCGGGCGCTCCGTAGAGCAGAATTCCCGAGCGATGCCGAATGGGAAGTTTGGAGAAGAGGATGGGATACTGTGGAAAAAATGTTCACAGAGCCAACTCGATGATTTGTTTCTTTAAATGCATTTTCTACCTGATAGTCTAAATTAAATTGGCATATTTTAGATCTGGATGCATTAAAGACAGAGGGAGAGAAGCTGATTGGTGATAATGGTCCGGTGGGCTCTAACCTTAGCGGGCAGCAGAATCGTGTCCATCAGCTGCTGCCGCACATCGCTCAGCCCCCCCACCCGCTCCAGTCCAGCCCCCCCTGGTCTGTGAAGGTCTGCCCCCCACAGCGAGGGGGGCGTGAATCCCTTTAGAGCCTGAGCAAAGTCTCTGTTCGACAGACATGCACCTGAAGGACACAGGGCACAAGACAAATACTGTCAGAGCAAACCACCACAGGCTTAAAACAAAAAAAAACTGACAGAAAGATGAACGACGATGAATCCCAGTTTATTTTCTCTCTATATTCTATGTTCCATGTTTTCGTCCAGGGGATTGAAAGCTTTTGTTACCTTGGTCACAGAGTCCCATTTGCACTGTGTGGGCGTGAGTGGCACGCTCTAACAGCAAAGCCAGGTCTTGGGCCATGAATCCCTCCGTCTCCTTGGCAACGGCCATGAGGTCAAGACTGTGTAAGGTGTCCTCGGACAGGAGAGACTTCCTCTGGATCAAATGACGCAAGATGTCTGCCCTCTGGGCCTGAAAACCACAACACAGAGCGTTTTGTTTTGGGGTTTTTTTTCCTGCTTCTTTGTTACTCTCAGTGTATGTTCTGGGACGCTGACCTGGTCTGGGGGCTGGATGTTGACCGTCCCCTGGATGAAGTGGGACCCGGACACCTCGGTCAGAGCCGGGTGGAGCGAGTCCTCGCTCTGGCTGGTGATGACCAGGCACACCAGGCTGGAGTCCAGCACCACCTCGTCCACCACATCCATCACACCTGCACTCACAAACAGACAAACACACATCAGTAACAAACCGTTTTTTGTTTCTCCTCACACTTGACGTGAATCCGTCCTTTACTTTGAGCGATGTGCAGCCGCAGCAGCGCCTCCGGGCCGTGCTCCTGCTCCGGGGAGGAAGGGGCCCGGGTCACATGGTCCAGGTCGTCCAGCAGAACCACGGCGGGCTGTTTCCACTCCGCCTGCTCAAAAACGTCCCGCAGAATGTGCCGCACGGTTTCTGCCTTTTTGCCTGTAGGAGACAACGGACATTTTCCCATGAACAGATTTTTTTTTATATTTCGGGTCGATGAACTGTTGTCTTGTGGAATCTTATTCGACCTTGTAGCATTTTGCAGTCAACTGCCTCCACATGGGCGTCCAAATCCTCCCTGGCTTTCCTGCACAGGGCTCGGGACAAAGTGCTCTTCCCACTCCCCTGTGAGGATAAAGGGCAGCACATCATTCTTTAGCAAAACTAAACTTAATAAGATCAAATGCATTTAGTTACTTGACAGCTGTGTTTAATGCTGAGCCAAAGCTAGCAAAACCAGCATGGTCAGCATCAAATTCTTTAAATTCCAAACCCTTCTTTAAGGTAACAAAAATGTTAAGAATATAAAAAATAAAATGATATGCAATACCTTGGCACCAGTTATGAGCAGTGCTCCTCCTAGGAGTCCTCTTCCAGTGATACCGAGCTCTCTAGAGAGGGGACTACCCAGAATGCTGTGAGAGATGAACTCAAATCCAGCCCTGCTCAGCTCATCAACCCCTCTGGGAAAACATGGAAATGTGGGGGCGGGGAAGCAAAGGGTGAAGTAAATGCTGAAAAAGTCCCAATAATGTCAGAAATGTTGAAATAACTCACCCAAGAAGACTGAGGGAGGGAAGCTCTGTTTGGGGCTCTCCGGCTACAGCGTTCCCATCGGGAATTTCTACTGGTCGCCTGTCCACCTGAAAGAAACCCGAAAGTCACCACGGCAACCAACAGCTTACAAACGGCTGCAAGAAGAAAGGAAAAAGGATGGATTGTCCAGACTGTGGGAACGCAAAGTTTGAGGAATAGTTTCCATTGCTATATTGGAGGTTATAAAGTATAAACACATGGCAATACCTGTATGTCTCTCTTCTTGAGGACGGTGGGGGTCAGGAGGAAGAGCTGGTCCACCGGGTCATTCTGCAGCTCCGGTTTCAACACCGTCACAGCAAACTCCAACTTTGCTGCGAGAGGTTTTCAAAAAAGTCCACTGAAACTTCACGTCACTTTGGTAGAGGTTAAATCTATTTTTTGATAATGGATGATTTCTTCGGCTTATTAACTCATTCGCTGCCAAAGACGTCTATAGACGTCTTTTATGTTTTTCAATGCGAGTGGCTTGGGGGACGATCGGCTAAAGTTTTTCCGTAAAGATCGGCTTCTAGACAGAGTATGTACTAACAAATTGACCCTCTAGGTGGCAGTTCCACTTTTGATGGGAGATGAGCATAGATTGTAGGCAAATAAGAAAAAACGCAATGGTTCGCTATGCGAAAAATGGCGCCAGTGAGACGCAAGTCGAGGAAGAACGGAATAAGGTAGAAACAAAATTTTTTTTCCTGATGAAAGAAGAGAGTCTACTCTTTCTTTTGGTGTGTTTGGTGTTTACATAGTCATAGCACAAACTATTCTGTGGCTCTTGAAAAATCAGTCAAAATGCTCAAAAAACTCTGGCAGTATGGGACTCTCTGTTCTGAAAATGGCTGGCAGTCAATGAGTTAAGGAAGCGCAGAAATGAATTACCCTCGTTTCCGTGCAGGAGGACGGAGCCGGAGCGCTCGCTCAGACAGGCCAGCGGCTGATGGCTCTGCGTGTGGAGCCAGCCCAGGAAGGCGGCCTGGATCTCCTCATCACTCTCCTCAGGCTGGAGGGAAAACGGACGAGATAAGACAAACCAGCAACATATGCCAACCGTGTGTGTATCCCAGAACTCACCAGAGGTTTCAGAGGCTGTAATCGAATATTAGAGGCCACTTTGACGGCTGTTTTCACAGGTTTAATCCTCACTGCTGAATGTGGCGGAATATTTAACTTGCTGGCCTCGGGGATCTGTAAAAAGATAAAAAATAAAACATACTTAGACATACAGTGGGGGAAATAAGTATTTGACCCCTTGCTGATTTTGCCGGTTTGCCCACTTACAAAGAATACAACAATCTATAACTTTAATCATATGTACATTCTAACAGTGAAAGACAGAATCCCAAAGAAAATTCCAGAAAATCACATCATATGAATTTATAAAAATTGATAACCATCTGATGAGGAAAAATAAGGATTCTTTGTAAGTGGGCAATCCTGCAAAATCAGCAAGGGGGCCAAATACTTATTTCCCCCACTGTACTCTTAACCGATATGAAAAGAAGTAAGGTAAATGTGAGACACATGTTACTCACCCATACTCTTCCCCTGTGGATCTCTTTGTTTCTGTGACACATCCTGCTGTCCGTCAGCATATCAACGCTATGGCACACTACCCTGACCACCTGGCCTTCCTCTTCTTTCCCTTCTTTAGCGGGGGCGCCATCTTTGCCAACTCCTCCATTCTTCTTTTTCTCCACGGTCTGCTTTTTTCTGTCTCTCACCTCTTTGGGGGATGGAACTTTAGTGAGAAGGCCGTATGTCACGGGAGACCGACCCCCGACTAGCGAGGTGTTCAGGGCAGGGCTCCATGGAAACATGTGGATCACACCAGAGGGGATGTAGCTTATGCTGCCCGGAGAGTCGGGCGGTGAGTTGCAGACTCTGTAGGTGGAGTCAGGGAAGAGGGATGGGATGTCGGGTACAGGCGGTGGCTCTTTAACCGGGTCATAAGAGCCCGTTATCATATGGCGGAGAAGGCTTTTTAAGTCAGCTATGCCACCCCATTGCTGGCTGTGAGGGAAAGAGGAAGTGCTCTCTGACGATGGCGCTGAGGGGGAGGAGTAATTCACAACTTGATTTAAGTCAGAAGAATCGGGGAGGTTGCTGACTCCAGTGCGGAGCTTTGGAGACACAAGGAGCTCTGTGAACTGCTCCAGGCGGCCATACGGCACCAGTGGGGAGAGCGAAGCTGCGTGGAGATAAAAACAAGCCACAATGTGTTTCTGAATGCTTTAAAATGTTATCAAATTCATTCCTTTATCTTAAGTGTATGTAGGTATGACAACAGCCGTCTGTCAGACTACCCGAACAGAGAAGTATAGTTAAATATGTGTGGTAACACCTACCTACTCTGATGTAGATGACTGTGTGATTGTCCACCCAAACAGGAAGTACAGCTCCTTGGAAAACCACTCTGATCTGATCCAGTAGTTGCTGCTCCAGTTCAGAGCTGTGAAGCTCCTGGAAGGAGGAAAGTAAGGAAAGTAAACCAACTACTGTGGTTTTAGGTTGCAGAGCTTTATCTTCCGACTGGCTTTATCATCATGAGACGCATATTTTAAAGCCCCCTCCAATCAGAATTAAGTTTTAATCTTTGTTAACACATAAACAACACCATCCCTGAGTGTTTTCAATTGGAAACGTAACTTAACACAAGACAAAAAGAAGACAGGAAACAGAAAAGTTAGGGGGGTTATTGTAATATGTAATAACGTAATCTTGCATGAAAATAAATTACATATAAATCTCTTTCAGTCTCAATTATCACCCACCAAGATCTCCCAGTCATCAGAAGAGAGGGGCTCCACGGTCACTTGATTCAATGAAGAAACTTGGTTGCAGGCTCTCAGAAAGCCCTGAAGGAAAACAACACAACCGGTAAGTCACTAATGCTGTTCAACCCAGAGAGACAAATACTGTACAAACATATCTTTAGTTGGCTCCTATGTGCCCTAAAGAGCTAGACATACAGGTAAACAAGTCACAAAGCTAAAGCTCCACCTGCTCTCCTTCTTTTAGGCCAAGCTTCTCTCCGAGTTGCCGACACAACTCCACGTTGTAGTCGTCCAGACTGGAGGAGGTTCTTTTTTGAGTCCAGCTGAGGAACACAGGAGGTCCATCGTCCCAAGACAGCTCCAAGGCTTGGTTCTTCAACAGAAAACAAGTTCTTCTATTTAAAGTCTGCATTTCTTCATGTTTTGGCTCTGAAGTCACATCTTACTACTCCAATTAGTTTTCTTAAGCATTGCAACAATAAACACTAAACTAAAAGGGGAAAGCTACAAAGAGAGTTTAATGAAAACTCACATTGTAATCACAATATTTTCTTCCTGTATGAATGAATCTTTGTAGCTCTTTGACGTATTTATTTTTAGTGCATAGACTGACATGATCCTATAGACAGCTTTTCTATTCATTTAATGTGACATACTACTTTGAAAAGTAAAGAATAGAAACTCCCAGGAAAGAGACCAAATGCAAACAACAAAAAACACAAGAAATGTTTTTGTTTTACGAAAGATACAAAGTAAAACTGAACTATAATGCCAACACGAGACTTGCTAAGCTAACTTACCTCGTTCAAGGAAAGGTGAGATATCAGTTTGGAGGGGAGGTGAAGAAAACAGTTTTTTGTGTTGTTAAAGCCAACACAAACGGGCTGAATGCCCTGAGAGGTAAACATTATTTTCACGTTGCCATACTAGCTCCGTAAATAAGTATATTTCTGCTCCTCCTTTCCGTTAAGGTGCAACGAACCCAGTGAATCGATGTGTTGTGACAATCGCAGTTCAGACCAAACTAGCTGATATTAGAAAGAGTTCATTTTTCAAACTAAAACGTTGACCGTAGGCATTCAATCAATTCAGCGTCGCCCAACAGTCGAATGGCCCTTATTGTGAAAAACACGCACCGGAAATCCCCTTCAACAAACATGGCGGCACCTGTCGATAGTGGCTCGAGCTGTTGGGACGCCCCAGAAGTCTATAAACATCACGAACAGAAGAAAATATGCATTTCTCGACCTAAATATAGAGAAGGGAGAAGGGCTAAAGCGGTTAAGGTGAGAAAACTGAATTATCAGCATGAAAAATGGGTCTTAGAAGCTAACTGCAATGGGAGAAAACGGTGTAGAAACCACAGTAAACAGCCTCTACGATGCGGTTTGACTGGTGTTCAGCACTGATACTATTCAATAACTAATACCACGTTTGTCTCGTGTAAATTCAGGTGTACACCATCAATTTGGAGTCCCGTTACCTGATGGTCCAGGGCGTCCCGGCCATCGGGGTCATGGAGGAGCTGGTCCAGCGGTGCGCGCTGTACGGGGCCGTGGAGGAGTACCGGCCTCTGGACGAGTACCCCGCCGAGGAGTTCACCGAGGTCTACCTGGTCAAGTTTCAGAAACTAACCAGTGCCAGGTGCGGCGCGCGACCCGTTTCGGTGGGTGCGCGCGTGGGGTTGGAGGCGCCCGTTGAATCGTCCTGACCCAAAAACATGTTTGCTTCCAGAGCAGCGAAGCGGAACCTGGATGAGAAGAGCTTCTACGGGGGGGTCCTGCACGTGTGCTATGTCCCGGAGTACGAGACGGTGGAGGACACGCGACTAAAGCTGCAGGACCGGAGGAGCTACGTGGCCAGAGTAGCCCGGAACAGAGGTAGCATCAAGATTAAAAAATACATGCATGTCTTTTAAAACACTCGCAGGAAAACGTTTTTTTTAATGAAAAAGTCTGTCAGTACTGACATCAAGCACTGTTTGAATGATCAATAAGCTTCACAGTTTGGTCAGTCACCAAAAGGTTAGACTATTATACATTTGAACATTCTTCTTTCTGTTCTTTGTACATTTGTGACATAGGTTGCTTTTATTTTGAGCTTCATTTCCTCTATACAGTGGGGGAAATAAGTATTTGACCCCTTGCTGATTTTGCAGGTTTGCCCACTTACAAAGAATGCAACGATGTATAACTTTAATCATATGTACATTCTAACAGTGAAAGACAGAATCCCAAAGAAAATTCCCCAAAAATCACATCATATGAATTTATAAAAATTGATAACCATCTGAGGAAAAATAAGCATTCTTTGTAAGTGGGCAAACCTGCAAAATCAGCAAGGGGTCAAATACTTATTTACCCCACTGTACATATCAAAATTAGGTTGAAATTGTATGCGGTTTTAAGTTTGCTATGGTCTTGTAAGCTGTGAAAACATGGAAAGTTAATGTTGACCTTTTATTTTTCTGTTAAATTGTTAAATAGCCAGGAAAAGTAGAGACAAAGAAAGGATTTGTGAGAGGCCCACACCGTCGGAGACGGTCACACCGGACCGGACCCGCACCGGACAGCCTCAAAGCTCCTACAGGGAGGGAACAGGTGGGACTTCAGGTGTTCCCCACCACTCAGGCTTCCCTCTGCTGCCACCACCTCCACGAGAACATGGTCTCTACGGGCCTCAGTACCAGCCAACGGAGGACAAAATGGGAACTTTACATAACGCCACGCCTCACACACATCAACAGCAGCTGGAGAGTTTAAGCTCCGACCAAACGGCCAGCAGAGGTCAAAGCACAGACAGCAGACTGGCGTCCAGTCAGACCTCTGTGGTCCGATTTGTCCCGAGAACCGCACACTTGCAGAACAGGAAACGGAAAGTGGACGAGGTTCCACAAGATTCGTCGACTATTTCTGAAGAAACTGGACCCTTAATCGGACCAAAACTGCCAGAGTCACCTAAGCTGAACATGGAGGACGAATCACTGAACACAACTGTAAACCTCATCCGGAACACAATGAAGCAGGTAATCTGCTCTTCTTTTATTTAATAATAATAATTCAGTTCGGTTCAACTGTGGTTTGATTTTTTTTGTGCCTGTAACGTTCGTTTTGTCGTCTCTTCCAGGTGGAATCGGCCTCAGACCACAAACCTGTAGAGAAAAAGATTAAACCCCGCCGGCGGATATAATCCAAGTCTCCTGTCAAGACATCACCTACCACAATGGAAAATGACTTTCAAAGAACTGTGTTTTTTGCAGTATGTTTATATTTTTGTAGCCTTTGCATCATATTATAAACAAATCTAACCATTTTTATCAAAATGTCCGAGTCGAGGAATGCTGCGGTTTCTTCATTGTTCCACTTTTTCCTCAAACACCCGCTTCTCAAACATATCAATGCTCTGAAAAGAAAGAAAAACATGCTGGTTTTAGTCGTATTTAGAAGTATTTCTGTCATGGACACATAGAGGTTCATCTGTGAGTACCGTGGAGTCTGGGAGGCACGTCCCAAAGGCTTCTAGCAATAAATTCTCCTCCTTTACAGCCGTTTCAAAGTCTTCAAAAGACATTCTGCCATCATGATCGCAGTCCTGTGGGAAAGGAAATGTTGGTGATATCTATTATGATAAACTGGACTTATCTGTGTTCTGGATCGATGTGGTGGCACACATATCTAAATATCGGGGCAGGAGAGCTCTCACCATCTTCTTGAACGTGATGTCGACCAGGTCTTTGACTCCCTCGTCGGGGTCCTCCTCCGTGGGCTGCCGGATGAGGCAGTTCTTCAGCATGTGGAACATCTCCTCTCTGGCGATGTACTTGTCGCCGTTCAGGTCGTACACGTTGAAGCAGTCTGAGTCGGCAGAAAACAGGGACAGGCATTGGCTCCCAGGGGCACGAGAGGGTCGGGGAGAGGGGATCAGTAAGGACAGAAAAGCAAAGCTGAAAACTTGCACTTTATTTTTTCGTCCAACGTCCCCCGAAGAAAAACGGACAGTCCCTCGATCCACTCCTCCACGGAGATGAAGCCGTCGTTGTCTTTGTCGAACGTCCTGAAGACTGAGGGCGAGATCACGAAAAACCCTAAAACGCATCCTGTTCCATTCGTTATTCGTCCACATGTTATATGACATTTAAAATGAATAAATAGTTCTCAGAAACCTTGCAATTAGTTGTAAAACATGTTTTTTACAAATGTTTTAAAGCATGGAAATGTTCTCTCCACCTGTTTCCATTGAACCAAAACAGTGACATGGTGCCAGACTTTATGACTAAAGTCAGCTGAAGGGGAGAACAACAGCTAAGGGAGTTAAAGCAGTTTTAAAAAAGACAAGTGGAGAAAAAAGTTGAAGGACTTGAGGCAAAGTCATTTTTAAAAACTAAACTTTTTGACTGAGACTTGTAGTAAGTTTTTAAAAATGTAATGTATATGACAGCTAAGCAGTAATGTTGAATTATAAAACAAAATAAAGGAGCAAAAGTGACAGCTGAAGGCTATTTGAACAGAGAGGAAGAGCTTCCGTGTCTCAGATGGATCACAAGGACCCGGATGTGGGCAGACCTCCGTCCATGATCATGTCGTCCGTCATCCCGAACAGGTTGTGCAGGATGCCCCTGAACCGGCCTCTGTCCAGGCCGGCTGATGCCCTCCCGGGGCTGGGCTGCTCCCCCACCAGCTCGTTGTACTCCCAGATGAGGCACTCCGTCTCTTTTTTGTCGACTAGGAGGCAGAAAACATTCCTCACAATTCGCCTCTTGCAACGTTTTTGGGAGCAGCTCAGTTTTGAGTCGACAGACTCGGTAAATGCGGGCGGTTGTTGTTTTTTTTGTTTTTTTTTCTCGGCCTGCGTACTCACAGTGCTCCACCTTTTTGGAGATAGCTTCGGCGAGGGCCTGGATCACCTTTCTATTCATAGCAGACATTTTCAGGACTCGTTTTAGAGACGGGACGCCGCTGAATGCTGTTGTTGACGGTGCGTCGCCATGGTAACAACAAAGCCGTACAGCAGTCTGCACTAAACGGCCAAACCAGGCACGGCAGCTTGGATCTCACCAAAGCAACAAAGTTTGCTTAAAACCCGGTTAGAAAACATGATCTATTCAGAAAGACTAGGTCAAATCCAGCCCTGTTTGCAGTCCAAAGGAGGTTTGACGTTGCCATCTGCTGGAGCACAACTACAGCCTTTTATCACACTCTATTTTCATTTTAACTGGGACGATTCTCTCACTTTGATAAAAGTAAAAACTAAATAAATCTCAGAACTGTGTCCTGCTGGTCCAAGAATCCCAGCATGTACAAGTTATGACCACTGGGTGATCAGAAAAAACAACCAATACACTTACTAATTTAATAAATACAATTACATGAATGATAAGAAAGATAAAACAGAACACATCAGACTCATCTGTTCCGTTTTATATTTAATTGATAGACTGCGATTGATTTTAAGTGCCCTTTTGTTAGATGTAACACAAATTAAAACATTTCACTCACAACTTAGCCTACTTCTAAATGAGATATTTGACAAATTTGCCCTAAAGAGGAAATAATGTATCAGTATTTGTTCCTCTTTGTGTGGATAAAAGATAAATAAATGCTTGATGCATGTGTTCATCATGTTGACATAGCGGGTAAATACACTGATGTGAGGAGGGCCTCCCTCCGGTCCGTAACAGGAACACGTATGTGGATAACTGTGGGCAGGTCACACAGGCCGCTGTGTCAGGTTAGTTCTGATTGGCAGTCTAGTGTCTATCCAGTGGTTCGGGTTTTGGATCATGGAGGTCCACACGGCCACTTCCTCCCCCGTGGAGTCCATCCAGCTGACATCCTCGCCATAGCTCTGACCTGCCGTAAAAAATAACCCACACGACTGGTCGTTATTCCTGCCCTTTCTCCACCAGTGGCTTAACTTTCAGTGTCAACCACAATAAAACTAAAAAACAGTTAATAATGTGATAAAATATATTGAGAGTTTGATGCGGAAACTTTCAGCTGTGCACACTTTACACATAAATGTTCACCGCAAACAGCAGCTTCAGGTTGTTTTTCAGAGGCAGAAACCAACCCCACATTAACACAGAGACACTGAATGACTGTTTAGGTGACCTCGCTCTGGTGACAAGACCGTCCGAAATGTCTGAAATGCCAGGAGCACAAAACGATCCTGGACTGAAACCCAGTCAACATACAACACCTGAACACCCATGTAAAGGAGGCATTCCACTTTAGTGATGACAGTGTCAACAAAGACGATCAAAATGAAGCTCAAACTGGTAACTGGTGCTTTCATATCCCACAGAAAGTGCTTCCCTCTGGCGAACATAAAGACTCCTTTCACACAGCACCTTTCTGGATCATCAACTTAGCAAGTAAAGGCATCATATTGGATTACCATACATGTTCTGACTCAGAGGGAACAAAGACATGCTCCTGCTAAAATATTAAACTCTCTCAGCAGATCAAACTGGCCAGTAAGACGACTGGACTTTGGTTTGCTGCCCCCTTCATGCCCACAACACACAGAAAACCCCCAGAAACTGACCACTCTTGTCACTTGTCGTTGTTACAGATTTATAACAAAGTCAGATCACTATTAAACACAGATCGATGGCAATGCATCCTTGAATGATATCTAATATGTTAAATGTGAAGCCTTTGTCTGGCATTACAGGCTCTGTAACTTTCATCTTAGAAAGAAAAAGCAGAACATTCCCAAAATGCAGATTAACACTCTAAAATACTGTGTAACAAAAAGTGAGGACTTACCTGATTTGGGCATTTTACATAATGATACCAATTGGAATTGACAGCAAAACTGCACAGAAGCAAAGACTGATGGCACGTGTGTAGCTATCGTTATGATTTTGGGGACTCTCACCAGTTCCAGAGCTCAGGCGAATCCCTCCCAGGATGCGCACCTTCAGGCCCTCCCGCTGCCACACGGTCAGCTCGGCACAGGCCTCCTTCAGGTCGCTGGTGTGGAAGCCGTCGTAGACCATCGTGTGGTTGTAGGTGGGGCTGATGGAGTGTTTGACCACACGCGTCTTCTGACCACTCTGCCGACTCGCATCTGGAAGGATGTAGCTGGACGGGGAGTGGAGGACGACATCGATGAGTCATTTCAACAGCACAAAACCTTGGTTCAATTCAATTAATTTAAAATTTTATTTATATAGAGCCACATCACAACAGTTGTCTCACAGCGCTTTCCAAACAGAGCAGGTCAGACCCTACTCTAAAGTAATTACAGAAACCCAACAATTTCAAATTTATCAGACCTAAGATGTGATAACCAACTATGAGGGACTGTTCAAAATGACTTATTTTGACTGTGGATCATAAATTAAAAAAAGGATTTCCCCAAAATACAGCTGTATTTTTATGGATCAAAATCATAGGAGTTATTCTGCCTTCAAAACCTCCCATGAAATCTTAATCTTTATACAAAAATGTTGGATGAGAAACTGTTCTTTTGCTGTCTTATGCACCTGAAAATACTGCTGAGACAAGTGGGCACACATTAAAATGGTTAAATAACCATCATCTAAACCATAAAGACAAGTTGCTTAACGTGTCACCGACTGATTCTGCATGATTCTCAACTAATTAGGAAAAATGAGGTAAATGTTCACAAAGCCTTGCGAGGCATGTTCTGAAACGCACCTTCTCACAAAGGAGTCTACGGCCCCTCCTTTGTTGGAAAGGAGACCCTGAGCCTCCCGGAGCCAGATGTGAACCTCTCCTGTCAGCGGCATCCCGCCGCCTGCACACACACATCAGTCCACATTTAATATGTATGTCTGCCTGAAGAGAGGAACTCAGATGTCCATCTTCTGCTTACCCTCAAATCCTTCTGGAATGAATTTAATGGAGAGCATGATGTTTCCTCGACTGCTTATTGAGTCTGGACTCACACAAACCTATGCAAACAATGAAAAGATTAAGCCGACAAAGACAAAGAAAGACAAGGTGAAGAGGTGTATGTGTGGAAGCTGGGAGAGATCAGAGTTATATAAACCCTTTTTTAAAATTCACATCATGTCTTTCTTTCCCCTCGTCTCTGCCAGACACAAGACACACTCATAATTCAATCTGTGTCTCCAACAAACCAGCCAAAACTACTGTTAGATGGACACTTAGAGGCTACAGAAACTGGTTTCCTCATCATTTCTGTGGGAGTGTTAGACCCCAGATGTTGGTGTGTGAGACTGGTTCAGGATTCCTGAGCAGGACACTGATGGTTCCCCACCCGTGGCTGGAGGTCCTGCCACAGAGGCTGCGTGCAGGTCCAGTCCCAGAGCTCCAGGGCCACCTCCACCTCCCCCAGGAACACGTTCCTGCCCAGGGGCTCCGCGTGCCACACCGAGAGGTTCAGCGTCCGGCTGCGCAGCTCCCCGGACCGGACCTTATACTGAAAGAGCACAGTCCGGATCAATCAATCAATCAATCAAGTTTATTTGTATAGCCCTTTACAATACCCAAATGGTACTCAAAGTGCTTTACAACAAAGCCATAAAACAATACAAAAAACATACAGAAACAACTAAAAATGCTGTAGTGGTGCATTAAAAGCCTTCCAGAAGTGCGTAGAAAGGAGCAGACAGAAGGAGGAAACCTAAGAGACCCTAGTCCGAATTAAATGCTCGTTTAAAAAAGTGGGTCTTAAGCTTTTTTTTTAATGGCTGAGGTCAGTAGCGGTGCAGATGTTTGTTCCACAGTCTGGGAGCAGCGACGGCAAAAGAACGATGGGCCGGGACGGGAATAACGACACACACCGGACGTGACATTTAGCAAACGGAGCAGGTTTTCTGCTGACCGGTAGCAGAGACGAGGGCGGCTTTACGTAACGGGGAAAGGAGAGCAATCTTACTCTGAGCGTCTGGTCATAGACGGGGTTCAGCGTCTTCTTCCTCACGGATGTTTTCTTCTTACTGTGATTCGACTTGTCTGGCAGCAGGTAGGTTTTTACATACCTGGGAAGGACGCACACAACAGGGTTTATCATTTGTTTTGCATCATTTCGGGGGTGGGGGGGGCGGTCACTTACGGGTCAGAGCGGTTTTTCCGTGCGGAAGCGATGTCCTCACAGCGGTACACGTTCACCCGCAGCTCCTCCTTAGGAGCGTCGTAAACCAATGAGTACTGGATACGGCCCCTCACCTCCACCACTCCGAAATCCCCCGAGCTGAACAGACTCATCATGCTGCCGCTGAGCTGTAACACGCACACACACACACACACACACACACACACAGACACACACACACACACACACACACACACACACACGGGCAGAACAGGGATCAGAGCCTGCGTCACCGTTCAGAGCTGAGTCATCCACTGCCGATGGATGGTCAATTAAACAAACGTGTGTGAGTGAGTGAGTGAGTGAGTGAGTGAGTGAGTGAGTGAGTGAGTGAATGAGTCAGTGTGTGTGTGAGTGAGTGAGTGAGTGAGTGAGTGAGTGAGTGAATGAGTGAGGTAGTGAGTCAGTGAGTGAGTGAGTGAGTGTGTGAGTGAGTGAGTGAGTGAATGAGTCAGTGTGTGAGTGAGTGAGTGAGTGAGTGAATCAGTGAGTGAGTGAGCGAGTGAGTGAGTGAGTGAGTCAGTGAGCGAGTGTGTGTGTGTGTGTGTGTGTGTGTGTGTGTGTGTGTGTGTGTGTGTGTGTGTACCGTGTAGCTGGAGTGAAGGCTGCTAGTGGAGCTGCTGGTTTTCAGAGAGGCTGGATCCGTCTCTGTGTGACTGCTGCTCAGAGAGTCAGAGTCCCCGTTGTGAAAGACAGTCAGACTCTCCTAAACACACCCACACACACACACACACACACACCCACACACACACACACACACACACACACACACACACACACAGACACAAGGGTGTTTTAACTGCTACCCGACACATAATCAGGTCTAATCGTCAGATACTCTCCGTTATAATGATAAAATAGGAAACCTACTATTGACATTCCACTAATCAAAAAGGGAATTATTAAGGCTTGAAGCTCTGACCCGTATTTTAACTGAGTGCAGTCTCTTAGAAAGCAGTTCTGGTGTCGACTCCTGACGGGAGAGTCTGCAGCAGTCCTGCCCTTCTGGATGTTTCCGAGCTCATACATAATGAACGAGAGGCCTCCGGACCATGTTTAGGTCGAAAACAGTATCTGTTTTTTGCCCGATTCGGTCCATATTTGCGTCATCATTAACATGCCTTTATGCAGCTTTTTAAATTGTAAGGAAAAAATGGTTGGGAATTTTTTTTTCTTATGCCTAAAAATAGGCAAAAAGTATGAATAGCTTGATGCTGCCACAACTATGTTGCACTGGGAGACATTTATATACACCTGTATGTAAACTAATGAATCCAATCAATCAAATCCAGACAGCTCATTTATCATGCTTTAAAATGACAAAAGATTGTTTGTTTTCAAATCAGTTTTTTTCATTTGAGTGAAGGGGTCTGAACATTTTTGGAGCAACCGAATGGATATTTCCTTTTCCTTTAATATCCTGAGCTGTCCATTTGTTTGAGTCATGGTTTCACACAAAGTATTGACGGAGGGAAACGAGCTGGACCTCTGACGACTGTTTATCGTGCGCCATTAGTCAGAGTGCTCTGTGTTGTAGTCACCTCAGGGTCCTTTGAAGCATCATTACTTCTCCTCTCACCCTCTAAGAGCAAAATGACACATTAGTGATGTCCGTCAGAGACCTTACTAAGAGGTTCAGCAGTGAACTTTCGTACCTTTGGAGGAGGAGGAATTACTTCTGTGTTGGAGACTCTGAAAATTAAGATATTGTCACTTGGATGTTTTCAGGATGGAAAACGGGGGAGCATGTTTTTAGCCACACATACCTCCACCACAGGACTTTTTATTTTGGGTGCAGACTTCAAATCCGCATCACTCCTGAAAAACAGAATTTTAAAATGTTTCCAAACAGAAATGTTCCATTCGGACATTTCCGTTAAACAGACAGAATCACTAACCCTCCGCTGTCCTCCAGCCTCTCTGTCGTCTCAGGGGCTTCATTGGAGGAGGTTTCCTCTCTCTCTCCGCTGAAAAGTTCATTCAGGGGCACATCTGTTTCTATGGCAACAACCAGAGAGCCATCCCTGAGATCTGAGATCTCCGTCTGGGGGCAGCAGGAGCCGATCCGGCCGGGCACTGACCTCTGCTCCTCGTCTTCCGGTGGCGGATGGTCGCCCGGATCAGGTCGCACCCCGAAGTCCACCGGCGGTGGCGTTTGCTGCACTCCTGGCTGAACCACTCCCCCGACAGGAGGCGCCAGCGCGCCGGGTCGGCCTCCGTCTGCTCGAGGGTCCTGAGGACGCAACCACAGATAAACAGAAAAGCCTCCGCGTTGAAAAACATAAAAGACGTCTATAGACGTCTTTGGCAGTCAACGGTTGTATTTGAATTGACGTCTATAGACGTCTTTGGCAGCCAATGAGTTAAATAAATGGTACCAAAGGAAGTGGTTGCTCATTATGACACGAGAAGAATGTTGACAGGGAACGTCTGGAGCAAGAGGAGCTTCTCTCACTCAACTTAAGTCAAGTAAAAAGAGAGGACTTTGAGGTTTGCAAAATCATACAATTTTCGAGTTATTAACTCATTGACTGCCAGCCATTTTCAGAACAGAGAGTCCCATACTGCCAGAGTTTTTTTGAGCATTTTGACTGATTTTTCAAGAGCCACAGAATAGTTTGTGCTATGACTATGTAAACACCGAACACACCAAAAGAAAGAGTAGACTCTCTTCTTTCATCGGGAAAAAAAATGTGTTTCTACCTTATTCCGTTCTTCCTCGACTTGCGTCTCACCGGCAACATGTTCCCTCAGAGCGAACCATTACGTTTTTCTTATTTGCCTACAGTCTATGCTCATCTCAGATCAAAAGTGGCACTGCCCCCTAGAGGGTCAATTTGTTAGTACATACTCTGTCTAGAAGCCTGATATTTACGGACAAGCTTTAGCAGATCGTCCCCAAGCCACTCTCGTTGAAAAACATAGAAGACGTCTATAGACGTCTTTGGCAGCCAATGAGTTAAATGAATGGTACCAAAGGAAGTTGTTGCTCAAAAATGTAGTCACCTGGGACTGACCTTACACGTCCTTCATCCCGATGGCGCAGCTCCAGGTCTCGCTGTAAGACCTCCAGGATGGAGGCCTGCTCCTCCTCCGTCAGGTGGCTCAAGTCCAGAGCCGAGTCGACCCGCTCCCCCTCCATTCCCCAGCGTTATCCGTCCCCAAAGTGGAGTCACGCTTTGAAAATACAGGATTGAAATCACATTTATAGCGAAACCCAGCGGGAAGTTGACATTTCACATAGAAAAATTGGTAACACAAATAAAAAATGTCACGGCAAAGTGATTAAAAAAACACGAGGAAATGCAGAAAGGCATTTTTTTCCACAGTTTAGCTGCATTCACCAAAATAAGGCAAAAAATTATACTGAAATCACGCAAAGTGAATTATATGTGAAACAAAATGCAAAATGGTACCAAAGAGCTGTAAATATACCATAAAATTACATAAAAAGAAGAGGTGTAAAACACATGTAGGTGCACAAAGACTTACAATGATTAACTCTGAACTAACAACCGGAAGGGGGTGCAAAATGAGCACAAAAAGACAATTCTAAATCATAAAAAAATTAAAAATGAATTAAAAAAAACAAGAATACATTAAATAGAATTCTCTGCTTGGTACCCAGAACTCTACATTTTCCATTATTCCACAAAATGCAGTAAATATCATATATAAAAGAGGGTTTTTTATGCCCCATGTCTCTCTCTCTCTCAAGTTTACTGCTTGTCTGCTCACTTCCCATTTTTAGGGCAGCAAAAGACTCTCAGGCTTCAGATAAATACTTTTATACAGCTGCTGTAGTCTGGATCTTTCATTAATGATGATTAATGATGATTAATGATGATGATTTAAAGGTCTGAAGCAGTTGCTGTTAAATATCCTTGAAAGTATATGCAAAAAAAACTAAACCTGTAGTACCACTCTCCTAACCGTTTGTTGTGTTTCTGAAACTCACGCATGCGCAGTCATCTGCTCGCCAACATTAGAATTCGACGCGTGCTCCAGTTTTTGCAAACCCAAGAAAACCGACTACAAGGAAGAAACGTGCCTTTTTTGTTTTCGACATTATAACACCCCATTAGCTGTCATTTACTCGTGAAATTTTCCTGGTTTAGCTGAGTTACATCCAACAGTTTTCTATTTACCGTTCTTTCTTTTTTAAGACTACAAATCCTTAGTTTTAGTTCTAACATCTTGTTTATTTGGCCTGTCTCTAAACTCAAACCAGTCACTTCCGTCTATATGGAATTTTAAAAAAATAGGCCCCTGGATATTTTTCCTGGTCTGAACAGCGCGTGAGAGGAGACACCTGTCACCAGTTTCCACGCGCCCACGCGCCTCTCCAACTCCCAGAAAACCCCCCAAAAAACACGCACGAGAAAACGCTGGAAACGCTTCCTACCGTCCATGTCGGCCGCTTCCATCCGTGCAAAGTTGGGTAAAAACTTCTCCAAAGTGCGCCTTAGTGCCTGTGTGTGCGTGCGCGCGCGTGCGTGCGTGTTTGTGTGCAGCGAACACGCCCTCAGCAGTAGGTGTGCGCGCGCGGGGGGGGGGGGGCAGCTCTCTGCTGGCAGCCCGGCGTGAGAACACACAGGGAAACACTTAGGTGGAGGGTTATAATGCGTGTGTGTGTGTGTGTGTGCATGTGTGTGTGCATGTGTGTGTGTGTGTGTGTATTCTAACACGGTGCAATTGACTGTTTGGTATGAGTCACAAACACGGATGTTCAGCCTAACAGCAGGGTGGAGGTGGGATGTCACACACTTCCTTATCCCCGTCCACACCTGTTAAACACACGGAATTTAAACTACTGCAAACACACACGCACACACACGCACACACACACACACACAGGGAGAGGAGAGCGTTTCTTTTAAAGGGAAAGAGAGAAAACAACGCAGGAGCTCTTTCAGTCAGTGGGAATGTGTTTGTGTGCAGTAGGGGGGGGGGGGTTAGTGAAAAAGGCCCATAGAGCATTCAGCCCTGTCTTTTGTCAACACTTTTGGATGGCGGCCACTATCTCCCCGGCCTGGGAAACCTCTTTGTGCTGGTTTAATGAAGGCTGCCCGTCCTCTCTGGGCCCCGGTCAGCAGCCGGACCTCCAACTGGACTCAAACCCAAACATGTGAAGGGAGACGGGATCTCACATACGAGCGCTCAGACGGCAGATTACTGTGGATTTAAGTCGCTCCCTCTGCTGGTATGAGCAAATATTGGGAAAGACTAAATCATCCCTGAGATGATTAGCTAATAGCTGAGCTGCAGACAGGAGAAGGGCAGCGATACACCCAATGGAGCGAGTTTATTCAGGAAATCTGACACAAAAACAAATCAAAACAGATACAGTACTCAGCAAAATCACACCAAACATCTCCGGAGGGTCATAAAATCCTCTCAGCTATAGGTTTTAGACTAATATTTACTGTTCGTGCCATAAATTAAACAGTATAACTATGTATGATGAATTCATTAAAAATAAAAAGATAGTCCTAAAATTAAAACACACACAATCAAAGTAGTGTATCTGTTTAGGCATATTAAATGTTATTTAACATTACCGAATGAGCTGAATTATTAAATAAATAGAGGATGAGATGCAGATAGATATGATATGAAATAATATAAAGAAGCAGTCCTGCTTCAACGTTTCGAAATCTTTAAGAATGCTTTGAATTTCTGAATAAATATGACACATCCATTATACAAGTTCAGAAAATATTTCTCTTAATGTTTTATCATTAACATCAAGCAAAAGGTAAAATTAGCATCAGAGAACCACAAATAGGAACAAACAGACTATAGTGGAAGTTCACAGTGGCATAAATATGGATATTATATAACCAAATATGGTAAATGAGCTTTAGATATTTTACCAAAACACAAAGTGTTCAGATTTTTTTTTTTAAATAAAGGAAAAAAGTAAGATGATATAATCCTCCCCAGGATGTTACGGAGAAGTTACCATAGAACAGAAGTTTTAACTTTCTGTCTCATGGTCATGTCTAAGTAACAAAACCCTTATTTCAAATGTGGTGACGTTGACGATCGATTAATAGGAGGAGGATTTCTGAAGGATTTCTGAAATCTAAATGGACATCATGAGTCACAACAGATTTCCACATATTTTCACCACTTCTTTAGAAAATAATTAGCTGGATTTAATGTTTTTGCATCATTTAATGGGGTCCTCCCTACACACTTTAGTCATAATGTGGAAATGTCTTGATGACTAAATTAATATGTCTTGCAGAAATAAAGATTAAAGTTAAAAAAATCACTAACTGCCAAACACATTTGTAAGGTGGGGAAAGGTTTCAACTTCAGTCGAGCACAACAAAGCTTTTCAAACAACACTTGCAAGGAGAGAAGTCATCTTTTATGTTTGACGTCCCCAAGGTCTCCCTTTAATCTGTTTCTAGGTTCTTAAAGAAAGCTGAAAATACTTGTCATGACGTTTCATGAGCCTGAGCTCACAGATATACGACAACGTTAGCAGCATAAGGCTGGAACAGTTCACCTCGAACCCACAAACTGCTTATAAGAGGACAAATCACCGCTACATTCATGTCTGTTCATGTGGGACATGGCCGGAAATCTATTGCTATCGTTTTAGTCTTGATTAATGACGACAAAAAGCAAAAAACAGTCTGTTAATCGGCAGGCAAAACGTCTTCCTACAAACACCTAAAGGCACAAATATGGGCATCAAACCAACAAAGACAACAACCCAAAAAAAAAAAAGGAAAAGAAAACCGTGTCATCGTGAATTGATGAGTCAGCACTCCTGCATCCAGCCGTCCTCCATCTTGAGCTGCTGCCCTTCAGGCCCGGGTCCCGTCCTCACTGAGGCTGCTCTCTGTGCAGAAAAACACACACAATTTGCACATAAACGCTTTACCACACCGGAGATCAGACCCGAACCCAAACAGCCGGAGCTTTAGATGCTGAAGGTGAGCTGCTGTGTTCCTGCTGTTATCCGTTCCGGCCACCAGAGGATGCTGCCGTCTTGTCCCAGACACACACACACACACACACACACACACACACACACACACACACACA